GGCCAGGGAAATGACTAATCAAGATATTCGGCTTACCGAGGTGGCAAAAGTGATGTTCAAAGTGATGTTTGCAGCCGACAATAGCCAGTTTATTCAATGTTCGAGTTTTGTTGTTCAACGAACAATTTGAGTATTCACTGTAGCACACGAAGACTCGTAGGAAGTCGTGAACGTGACGCTGTTGTCAAGGGACCCGTGAGCTGAGAAATTATGATAAAATGAGTGAAGCCGGAGATGAGAGAAAAGGAGACGAAAAGTAGAGATGGAGGAGAAAAAAAAATGTGGAAAAAATATATGGTAAGCCACTGTCGTGGTTGAGTCGCGTCATGCATATGAAATGGCGGTTGTCTTTACATGAGTTTAACGCTTGGTTGTTACGGACGCGTCTCTCAAAAGCCATGAAGATGTCATGAATACTCCGAAAATTGATTTTAGCAACAATATAATCTAATAAATTTTTCATGTGGACTTACCAAGAGGAATTGCCCTCCCAACTCGTGGACAGGTCAATTCAACATCGGACATGACAACAATCTGACAGCTATCTCCAACTATGACATTATTGTTCAATTCATGACCTTCAGTCGACCTTGAATGATTACTTTGTAATTATTCCATTTATTTATATGTTTGGAGATATCCCGAATTGTTTTAATTTGTTTATTGGAAATTATTTTATTCTCTATCATGCATTCTTTGATATTGATGAGCTCAAGGTCATTGAAGAGTCTCATTTCACATGATGATGCATGAGTATTGGATTCAGGAACTGATTTCGCAGAAAAAAGTGTCTAGTTGTTTATCAGCATTTTTCTTATGATTGAGGCGCTATTTTTCGGGGAAAAAAAATTATTTTGAAAATGGCAAGTAAATTTTGTAAGACAATGAAAGAACTGTACTCAAATATTCCAACAAAAGATATAATCCGAAGGTTGCGGGTTCAAATCCCACGGGAAAATTCCCTCGACAACGAAAAATAAGAGAATATTACAATTTTTACACAATATTTGAATGAACAATAGCACAAGTTTTACTGTACCATGTGAGGATGAACGGCTTGCGATATTTAATACGTCAGGTCAATTTTTTAACGATTTTTTTTTTTTTCAATGAATTTATCTTCATGTACATGTATTCTTCCAACAATCCGTGAGAGTTTTTCCATGGTACCGAGCAGTGAGCAAAGCGATTTCGACATGCGTCGTTCAGTGACGAGATAAACTCTTATCGTTGCTCGTTAAAAGTCGTGGACAGGCTGGTTGTATAGGGGATTGCTGATAGAGAAGAGGTCGTTCAAGAGGGGAGAGGAATGAAGAGGACAGAAATTGTAAGCGAGAGAAATATAATCCCCAACAGTAATACGTCCTCGGAACGTAAACTGTACCGATCAAATTCAATCGAGTAGACGCGTGACCCTTCTGCCATTCACAAATATAATAGTCAACAATTTATTATTTATTATTTATATTATTTTTTCCAAATATATTTTTGTTATATATTTTAATAACAGCTGGACATGTCAGATAATTGATCTTTTTTTTTCATTCGTCAAATTTTTTTTAAAGCTCTCACAATTTTTGCATTTTAAATATAATTATAAAAAAAGTGAGTAAAAAAAATATTGACTCCTCAGTCAATAACGAAAATAAATAATGGCCTGGGGTAGACCCGAAGAGCCAAGTAATCTGCCATATCTTTATCCCTCTCTGTATGTATATTTTTTTTATTTTCATCCTTCGCCGCTTCTTCATCTTCTTGTTGTTGGTCGATGGAACCGCTGGGTAGAACCTGTTCCTCAACTCTTACTTCTTCGTTTAATTCCATCTCACTCCTTCACATCCACAATTCATCCGTCCCCTGTCCCATCATTGCAATTGGTTCTTTTTCCCTTTCAGTGATGTTTTTTTTTCTCCTCTCTTTCAATTATTTGATATTTTTTAGTTTATTTTAGCGTCATTTTCGGTGGTGCTGCTTAACGAGGGAACCGGACTAGTGGCATCTTCTTTTTTTTTTTGACGGGGAGTTGATGTAATTGCAGTGTTTTGCATCAGATTTTCTTCATCTGAATTTTTAAACAGACTGCCACTTTTAAATTACCGAAATTTTTGAATAATCTTGAGAAACGACGAAGAATTATTAACTTAAGAAGAATTTTACCTTTCGGTTTTTCGTTGACGGAAATTCCTCGTTTATTACCAAAAATTTCGAATTTAATTTTTCAAAGATGCATTAAAAATGGTTTCATAATGTAGAAATGGCAAGTCCCTAAGAAAGAAAGGCTAGATACATGAACAGCAAGTGTAGGGCATGCAACGACACAATTAAAACATTAGAACATGTCACAAACTGAAAAGGTAATGAGAAAGCTGAAAGCAAAACAGAGAATGGTGGAAAGAATGGAGAGGCGAGCTGCACGAATTAGGAAGAAGGAGGAAATTGATAGAGGGTCTGTCAGACGAGATGAACACACCACAATGCATAGGGCTGACAAACATAAAAGAAATCTTAAGAAACTGTAAAGAAAAGAGAGACCAATAGCGAGAGTAGACGCCTCATGTCCAAAGTACCGATGAGAGACGGGAAAATAGAAAGATACCAAAAAGTGCAAAGATAAATTATAGAAAAGCCAAAGTCATATTAAATGTTATTTAATATATTTATCAATGTTATCTATTGTAAAGAGGTAAAAGATTAAGGGAGAAGAGGCTTGTGTGGATGTAAAACTGTAAAGAAGCATCAATGGAATAAAAATATTTATTTTGTTCCATAATAAAAAATAGATAAATAAAGTATGGTCAAGTGATATCAGAGATATTCAAATGAAAAAAAAACATTTCCATAAGCATGTGCATAAACAATCAGAGAATTTTTATTGAATATTTCCCAACATTTCTTTCCGACAATTATTTCGAAAGATGAAAACGTCGCACAACTTTCCACGTAATAACAATAATAAAAAAACATTCCTGTCTGATTAGTTGACCCGCATGTCGGTACATCTGTGAAGAGTCACCTCAGGACCCCTCGACCAATCAACATTATGATTTAGACCCACTTGTATTATTCTCTCCCTATCTATCTTGTTCATTTAATTCTCCCGCACACTTTTGTCCAACAATATGCCGCCCCTCATCTTGTTATAAACATTTGATTATTGACGGGCCTATTGCAGTGCCGAAAATAGGGGCTTCACGAATTTAATCTTCCCCAGGCAATAATCCCTGAGGGCATTTTTATTAAGAGTCATCACTTCACTCATGAAAACTCATTCCGAATTACTCGAATCACTTGAGAATCCATAAATATATTAAATATTCGGTTTAATTTGTTAATAAAATAATTCTAGGAAACAAACATGAAAGATTGCATTCCCCATGTGATTTTCTTCTCTGATCCCTAATGATCACTATTAATTACCGAATGATGAATGATCTTTCGTGGATCTACAGATTTCCAAGAATATTAATGACTTGGAGAAACCATTATGCCGGAGTATCCCGCCAAAATAAATTACACCATGAAGACCTTGAAGAAACATGATGCACATGATGCATCCGAACCTCTCAATAGTTACACTTTGAATTATCCACGCTTCATGTCAACATTGACAATCATCCGAGCCGGAAGGAAGTGTTACGCGACAGGCCGGAAGTCACTTCCGTATTGTCAATGATAAATGAAGAAAAAAGGAGTTGCAAAAAAAAGGGAGAAGCATTTGCCAGACTATTGATTGGATTACCTATCAAAATAAAACAACTCAGAATGTTACAGCTGAAAATATTCCAACAAAAAACCGATTATCTTCGTAGATTACAAGTTCTTCATATTGTGAAGAAAAATATTGTTGGCAACTCGTGGAGAAAATTATTTTTAGCATTTGAGATTATATCACTCGCTTTCGGCTCTTGCTATAAACCTCCCGCGCGCCAAAAATCACTTTTCCGCACTTGTTACGGAATATACTATTAAATACTTCAAATAAAAAAATGAGAATTAAAGATACTCCGCAATATCACAGACCGAATGATGAATTCAATCCATAGAAATACTCAGGCAGTAGTTTCTACACTAGAGTAATCCCTAGATCGCTCACGCAAATCACGACAATCGATTATTACATTACGATTATTACATTTAGGGATATCTCTTCGAAAATAATTGAGGGTAATAATATTTTACCAGTATAATACTTCAACCTAGTAAACAATTTATATAATAATCCTTTCATTTGTAATATTTATTAAAATAATATAATGATATCGCAATATCTCGACTTGTAACATTTTCCGAGCTGATATTTTCGCGAAATAATATATTGACATTACAATATTTTTTGGAATATTTTACGGGGTAATATTGAATAAAATTTAGAGCTGACCCCTGGAGATCGATCGTTCGAGGAGTCATCAAACCCTCGTAGAATATCTAAACATTCTCTACCTTTTAGAATGCACGGCTGTTAAACTCTTGGATATTGTGAGGTAAGCCACGAGTCGCTGTAAATCGATAGGCAATCGACTTAGCAAATAGATGAGAGAAAAAAAATAATAAAAAGAAATTTGTCCAGAAGAGTGGAGATAAAGTCTCGTTGCCGGGTAGTTGACATTCCTAAGACAATACTACATTGATGAACCGTGCAACAATGCGACTCTTTATGTATTCCAGGCGTCTAGGTGAAGACGTGCATCAAGACCTGGCAGAGGTTGTGTGCGAAAGGACTCTTCAGAATATCCTCCGATTTTTTCACTAGGTTCGAAAAAAAAGTCTCAGCATGTCCATGGAGTTTATTCATG